ATAATTGGTGTTAGGTTAGAGAGGGGGGCTATGTGAGCTTCAGTGCCCAGGGGCCCCTGGGGTGCTAATCTGGCCCTGATGTGGTGGAGAGAATCAGGTGATTTTTCAAATTTTTTTTCAATTTTTTAAAATATTTTTTTTCTGTGGGGCCCGGTATAAATTTACTCACGGCCCGGTACCTGTCCACGGCCCGGTGATTGGGGACCACTGCCTTAGGGGACGTCAAGAACCACCCCTTGACAGGGGGATTATGACTTGATCTGTCCCTGTGTCTATTCTCTTTGTATTTCTGTCTTTTCCTTTTCTGCTTATTGATTTTTTTCATTCTGCTCCTTGTTGTGTCGTTCTGTTCCTTATGTATTTGACTCTGTTTTCTGTCAGTTCTCACTCACTCCTCATCCTGTCTCTCCAGCCTAATCAGCCACACCTGTTTCCAATCTGTTATCCCAGATGCTCTCATCATCTCTCTCTCCCCCAGCCTTACTTAAACTTCGCTTGCTCACCAATCTGTGTCTGATCATTGTTCTGTTCTGCTCACAGACAACTCGGTCTTCCTTCGTCTTTGCCTGTACCATCTTCTGCCTTATACTCATCCATTCTGATCCTGTTTGTACGACTACCTGCCGTTCCTGTTTGTCATATGTTCTTTTGTAAGTTTTTGCTGCCTTGTCAACACAACGGAACCTTCAGTTGAATGTGATTTACTTTATTGAACATTTTGTCAAAGAACACAGCCAGATCAATGCGCATATACACCACACTTGATGTTCTTGCATCTAGCACACAAAATAGTACCACTAAACAACTTGATGCTAGTATTAAATACATCACAATCTGTAATATGAAAGACAAAACATGTAAACTTACTTTGTGTAAAGGCAGTTTCTGGGAATTCCACATCAGGCTGCCTTGAAACACATAGAGGTGCTATTTATAAGACAGATCCTGGTGTCAGGCCTCAGACTGATGAAGTCTTTCAGATGAAAGGCAAAATGTTTCTCTCAAAAAGAAACGGTCCAAATGACATAATTTAACCTTTTTGTGATTTGTTTGCCTGGATGATTAAGCATTCAAACCATTTTATTTATTGTTTCAGTCTTTGTACTAAATCTTTCTGGTCTGAGTGCTGTCCTATGTTTGTGTTGTAGCCTGGTGAGGAGTTTTATCTGGAGAACTGCCAGCTGAAGTGTAGGTGTGATGCGCCTCTTGTTGTCTGCGAGGCCTCTGACTGCCCACCGATGCATGAGTGCAAACTCCAGGATGGACAGCTGGGCTGTTTCCCTTCAGGTGAGTTCAAACCTACTCAGTTTGGCCCATTTAGTTCCAAAAGAAGTGAAATAATTCACAATTTAAACTTTCTTGTCCTACCCAAAGACAACATTCCCTAGTCCACATTTGCAGGACTTTGTTGGGATAGGATAGACAATCTGACTGAGGAGCCTTTCAGACTCGTGGGCGGTGATTGACAGCTGGGTCAAACTGGTCTACAGAGCCCAAGAAGCTCAGGTTGGCTCCTCAGACAGACCACAGCATGTCATGATGCAGAGCTGTTGTTCAGACAATAAATACCTTTCTGTAAAAACAGTGTGGCTGAAATTCTGCTGAAATAGGGTGAAGCTGAAACTGAGTTTTTTTTTCATTCAACCTTTATTTAGACAAATAAGTCACATTGAGCCTCAAAGACTCGTTTACAAGTGAGATCTGTTTATTAGACAGAAAAAAAGTAGTGAGACTGTACACATGTAGGAATCGGAGGCAAAAAAGTTCCTATCAAACTCTTTTTTTCTTGGCTGAGAAGAAAGCCTCAGATATATAAAAAAAAAAACACCTCACACATACAAGCACATAGTGATGTAGACATTCCGCAGAAGGGGGAGACGACGAGAGCAGTGATTTGTCCAAGGACACTTTCGAAGCCACTGTAAGAGTTCTGATAAGGATGGAATAATCAACCAGTTCCCTCCAGTGAGATCTGTAAACATTCTCGAGGGATGTCGGGGAATAGCCAAGGACAAAGCCAATGGGAATCCAAGAGTCCTGAAATGATGATAAAATGTTTATTCATCTGGTTTCCTCTGGTTGATCAGTTGGATGCAGAGCGTCAGATTACATGTTCTCCAGGCGAATTCAGACAAGGGAGCCAAATTCAGATAAACACACAGTTGTTTCGGGGATAGGCAGAACTATAATGACATCTACCTTGAGTCTGTGTTGGTCCACTCGGTTCCGAAATGTCCAAATTACATGGCCACACCGATTGACTGTGCCTGAGAAAAATCACCAAGATCTGATCCATCCTGCCAAAAGCATTTGAGTCTGGGTACTCGAGGCACAAACCAAGCCATCATAAAGCAAGCAGAGTGATAGGGTCCAAATTTGCTTCCGACAACTGCCTTGATTGTTGATAGACCAGTAACCAATGGAATCCAAAAAGCAGGAACCAGTTATCATAAATCCAATTATAAATGTGTCCTTAAAATCCACAAATGGCAGCAGAGATAAACAGATCACCAAGTCTTCAAGTCGATGAGATATCCAGTTGCGTGCTTGCCAACAGGGCAAATTGACTCACCTAAAGCCCGTCTTCTCTTCAAAGAAATGTTATCAATTGTGTTGAGGGACCAACTGATCAAATCAAGTCCATAATTATGGTTCGGAAGATATGCAAGAGAGGCTCAGAAGCATTTTCACAGACGGACAGAGCAGCAAAGCAAAGCGGAGAGGGAGAGGAGGGGAAATGCATCCTACCTCAGCGAGAGCAAGCAAATATTCAAACAAAAGCTAGAAACTAGAACCAGCAGAACAGTAGCTGAGCTCTAAAAATGAAGCAAGCATGCTGAAGTAGAGCACATATTAAAGGATCTAAAGATATATCAATGCATTTTTAAGAAATAATCAAATACTCAAGTAAAAAAAAAAAGTTACAAGAAATGTGTCAGTCCTTATGCCCTGAATATGCAACAAAGGAATGAAGAGTAAAACCTGAAATAATGCTGTTCCAACAGAAGAAACAGGTTCACACAGCAGACAATCCTTTTACTGATCGCAAAAACAGAAAGCATGGATTATTAGTGTTGTTCATTGACCCTTTAACAGCAAAACACTCTTCAAACATTAAAATAATAATTGTGCGCTCCTCTGTCTGTGTTGCAGCTTCAAGCAAAAATTAGGTTGGACCTTCCTGTACACAGTGAAGACAAGAGCACACTCTTGTTTATTAAAAAACTCCTAATTATTAAACAAAGTTAGGTCAGGTCCTCTGGACGGATTAAAAAATAATAATAAAAATGAAAACCTTGTTGAAACATTTCGTCTTTAATCCAGAAAATCTCGTCAGTCTGAGGAGATGTAGTAAACTCAGTCTAATAAATAGCACCTTCTCATAGTGGAAAAAAAACAGGTTGTTGTTAACATCCAGAACTAGCTGTTAGAGGATGACACGGGAGTGGATTTTCACTCCTGCCCTGTCCTGGTCCCACAGAAAAAATCCTGTCCTGTCCCAATCCTGGTCCAGAGTAAAAAAAAAAAAAAAAAAATCCTGTCCTGTCCCACTCCTGTTTTTTTTTTCTCTCTTCATTTAATTTTTAGGAAATATATTGAATTTGATTTGATCGTCTACCAATTCCTTTTGAAATTACTTTGTGTTCTGCAGTTTTATTTCAAAAGATATGACAACAGGAACCGTTCAGCTGTGGTGAAATAGAGACATTTATTGCCTTAATCCAAATAAAATCCTTCACTAAAGGGCACAAAACAAATGCATGGCCTGTAGTCCCGATAATTTTTCTATGGAGGATCAGCTGCTGAAGGTCAGTTACATTAAAAACAAAAAATCAAAATCAGTACATGGGTCACACCATGTCTACCTTAGATTAAAGAACCCAAACACAACAAGTTGCATTTTACTAATTTATTAAGCAATTGTTTCCTTTAAACACTGACATTACTGTCATGTTTTAAATTGTTTAAACAAACAAACAAAAACAAAAAAAGAAAACTAATGTACCAAGCAAGAGAACTCAACAAATAAAAATGTTTAAAGGCATTATTATACATTGGATGATGTCCTCAAGAAGTTCATAATCTATGTGGTGGAGGTAACAAGCTCGTTTGGGCGAAGCAAGAAGTTGTGCAGCTTTCCAGACTTCAGAGCATCATTTACAGACTGGATCATTGCAGGTCTGGTGTTCCACCTCATCTCTCCACAGCTTCAGTGATCGGTCCAGCGCCTTTTGTAACCTAAAATTGAAAGAAGACTGTGCACAAGTCAAAATAGGGTTACTGTGACTACAAATTGCAATTTGTTGGCCTTTCTTTTGGAAAAAAATATTTGATCAAAAACAAGAGATTTACAATTGAAACTAAGTCAAGAAAATGTGACCTTTGCAATTATAAGTGACTTTCATCACAGTTATTTACAATCCTCCGCATGCTAATGCTAATGATGCCTTGCAAGAACTTCATGATATAATTAGTTCTCTGCAGAACAAACACCCTGAGGCACTTTACGTGGTAGCCGGAGACTTTAGAAGAATCAGAATCAGAATAAACTTTATTGGAATTGCACCGAGGTACAACGCGAATATGTATGTACAGTCGTCCGAAAGATGGGCGGAGTGCACTAAGCTGCAACTACAGGAGAGCGCGGCAATTTTGTCCTTATCAGATAATAATCTTAGATAGGAAAAGGGGGGGGGAAACATGAGGGTAGATAGTGGTATTACAAAAAAAAGATCTTTCACATCTTGTCTATCAGGACATGATTTGAGACATCAAAAAACTCTACAGGCAAGCACAATTAAAACATGATTACATTTGCATTTGACATCGAGGTGAATCTACGTGAATCACATGAATCTAAAGGACTGTCTCCCAATCTTTAACCAGCATGTGGGCATACCAACACGTGGAAACAACATGCTGGACCGTGTTTACATGAACGTAATAGATGCATACAAAGCCGAACCCCGCCCCCACCTAGGACTGTCAGACTACATCTCAATCTTCTTGGCCCCTGCTTACATGACCCCACTGAGACACTCCAGACTAGTACAAAAGAAAGTTAAATGTTAAATCTAGAACAGTGGTCCCATACTGAGAGATTCTTTTGATCGAACAGACTGGCAGGTTTTCAGAGAAGCTGCTGAAAATGGAGGATCGCTTGATCTGGACCAATACGCATCCTCAATTCTGGGTTACATTAGTACATGTACTGACACCGTCTCCACCATCAGATATGTTAAAAGCTACCCAAACAGAAAACCTTGGCTGAGTGCAGAGGTGCGCATCCTGCTGGAAGCCAGGAACACTGCCTTCAGGTCTGGAAGCTCAGAGGAGCTGAGTAGGACAAGGAAAGAGCTGGACTCTGGTATTAAGAAGGCCAAGGCCACATATGCACAGAGGATCGAGGGTCAATTCATCTCACAAGACCCTGGGAGCATGTGGAAGGGCATTAAGTGCATAACAGATTATAAAGGCAGGCGCGAACAATGCCCCAAAGACCCATCTCTGCCTGATTGCCTCAACAAGTACTATGCATGCTTTGAAGACCTGAACAGACCACCCAGCACCAGACTCATCTCACCACCGGATGAAGAGCATCTCAGCGTGACCTCAGCCGAAGTAAGGAGTACTTTCAGGAGGATTAATCCGCACAAGGCTACCGGCCCAGACAACATCCCCGGAAAAGTGTTGAAATAATGTGCCGATCAGCTCTGCGAGGTGCTGGCAGACATCTTTAACACCTCACTTACCCTGGAGACAAATCCCACCTGCCTGAAAACTGCCACCATCATCCCAGTACCAAAAAGTTCTACAGTGACTGGTCTGAATGACTATCGGCCAGTGGCCCTCACCCCGATAGTAGCTAAATGCTTAAAAAAACTGGCCATGACTCACATCAAAACAACCATCAACATCAACGAGAACCCTCATCAGTATGCATACCGTGAGATCCGATCAACAGAGGATGCCATCTCCTCTGTGGTCCACACTGCGCTCAACCACCTGGAGCAGAAAAATTCTTACATCCATATGCTCTTTGTGGACTTCACATCTGCCTTCAACCCCATGATCCCCCAAACCCTAATGGACAAACTATTCACACTAGGACTAAGCCCCTCCATTTGCAACTGGGTACTACACTTCTTAACAAACAGACCACAGTTAGTGAGGATCCACAACTTCTCCTCCACCATAACTCTCAGCACTGGCTCTCCTCAGGGATGTGTGTTGAGTCCCCTCCTGTTTACTCTACTCACGTATGATTGTGCAGCTACCCATCCAGG